GAGGAATTAGGGTGGAATAGAAAACCCTCTGAAGTATTCTGAAGTACTCAGTGCAGAGAAAAACAGATGAAAAGTTTTGTTTCATCCATTGGAGGAAACTTTATTGACTGCCTGAGAAAGCTGTAGCTGTGTCATTTGTGGGAGACAGCAGTAATTCATGTAAAGGGACATCTTCGTGTTCAACTTCTCATTTTTCCTCAAGTAAACTAACCTTGAAACTTTTGCTTGTGAAGAAACCTGTTGAAACTCATCACCATCAACTATGAGAAGAGGTGATGACTCAAAAGTGAGGGTTGCCTCCTGTGTGGGAGAAATGGCAGTTTGCATTTCATTGGCTGATAGGATGATGCATTTTTCACTTCTTTGGGTTCTTTGGTTTTTTTTTTCACAGAATCATCTAGCTCCTTTCCAACCTAGACGATTCTGTGATTCTGTGATCATCCAGTCCAACCATTGACCTAACACTGACAGTTCCCAGCTACACCAGATCCCTCAGCGCTAAGTCAACTCTACTCTGGAACCCCTCCAGGGATGGGGACTCCACCACCTCCCTGGGCAGCCCATTGCAACACCTAACAACCTGTTCTGTAAACAAATGCTTCCTAATATCTAGTCTAAACCTTCCCTGGTGCAATTAGAGGCCATTACCTCTTGTCCTTTTTGTCTTGATTAGTCCTGTAACTGCAGTCATGGGAGGCAGACGCAGGCCTGGATAGATCCTGTCTCCTGGTTTTCCCGAGGTAACATTGGTGTCCTGTGTTACAAAGCAAGAGCAAACCTTTAGCAGCTGTGGAGTAAGGGTTTTTCTTTGCTGCAGTTTTGTGCCTCAGTCACCTGGGGCAGTGCAAGTCTCTGTGCACTCAGACGTTGTCTGGATGGAGCATGGAGGCTTGCCAGGAGGACACTGGAGGGTCTTTGTCCTTCCCTCCTCTTCCCAAAAGAGTGTGTGTAGCCAGTATGGTAAGGCAAAACACCAGTTGTATCTTGGATCTGTGGTGTGGCAGAAGGAAGAGTATAGGAAGTTCTGGAGAAGTGACTTTTAAGGTCTTTGACCCTTGGTAAGCTGTGAGCTGCATGTTGATTATCAAATTCAGTAGGCAGTGATGGTGGTAGACAGAGAATGGAGATAAATGTAGGTTAGAAAGAAAATGTTTTCATTATAGTTACAGAGAGCTCTGTGAGAGAACAGGAGAAAATGGTTAGTGCTAGACCTGCACTGAAGTACCTCAGAAAATAAGGTGGGTTAGCTGAGACTAAGACTGACTTTTTTGGCCTGTCTGCAGTTGCAGTGGGACACTGTAGGGGCACGCTTATGATCGCATCACTCCACTTTGTGGCCATGCCAATCAAGTGGTATTCTAGGTGGCAAAATTGTATTAATTCAGTATGTAATTTCTGTAGCCTGTCTTATTTATTTCATAAATTTTAAAATGCAGAGGAAATGAAGCATTTTTCTTACAATGTTAACACCTTTTTTTTTTTTTTTCTTTAAATGAATTTGATGACTGGATGAACCATGGCCTTTGGAAATCTGCTTTGGCTTCTGTCGTAGCATTTACACAACACTTAAGTAGTGTAGCTGTCTGAGGAAGTTACAGGTTTGATTTTGTAATGTATATTTCACTTTCATGTGTTCAGAGTAGTGGGTTTTTTTATTAGAAACAAAATTCGATTCAACTCTGAATGGAACAGCCAGCGAAAGCAGCACTGGTGTGTTTTTAAAGAAGATTCAGTTTTTTTGTAGTTAATTGGAAGGATGCTTCTGGCAAGTTTATAAATGTGTAGGAGGACAAGATTACCCTGATGTTTCAAAGAGAAAATATTTCTTATTAAAGACTGAGATTTTTATTGTGTTTACAAAAAGGGAAGTTTCTGTGGGCGGATAGCGTTTTTCTGATGTGGTGATTAATTTGGATTTCATTTTTTGTCGTAGCATTCATTGTGAGACAAGCAGTGGGCAGTTAACAGGAAGGTACCATGTGTAGCACTGGCAGGACGGATGATCTTTGAGAAGGGTGAAATATATTTTTAATGCAAGAAAAATAGTAACTCATTTAATTGGAATCTTACTTGAAGTACAAAAGTGTTACAAATAAATTGTATACATGGGAATATTCTCCTTTCCCTGTCCCTTCCGCCAAGTGTTCAGGCATCCTGATCCACTTAGTGATGAGAATACTCCTGTTCATAGTTATTGTGCATGTTTCCAAAACACAGTCTCTGCTTTGTGGCCAGAATACCCATCACAAACTGAAACAATTCAGGTTTTCTCCCAGCCTTTCTGATAAACACATCAATAGACTTGGGCTGCCACAACCCAGATGACCGCACACTAATGCTGCTGCAGGTAAAATGATAGCACGTATTTACCTGCATTTGAAATAGTTTGGGTTAAGTCAAACCCAAGTGTGCACAACTAACACTTTTTTCTTATAAGGGTGTGTCACAGGTAAATGCATTTTATAATTTCTTAAGCAATAAAATGAAGTCTTAAGGTAGAATTGCTCTGAAGTTTAATTATTATTTCTGAGCTTGGGAGTATATACGTTAACACGTGATGATTAGAGTTCATTGCTCCAAGTGCTTCTTCAGTGCATCATTTATTTCTAATGCTTCTAAAACTTTTACAAGTGTCAGAATGTATCAAAAGTAGTGGCAAGAACAATGGAGACTTAACTTTTAGATGTTTCAATGTAATAAAAGGTTTGCCAGCCAACATTTAGCATTAATACTTGATACTGATCCTGCTTGAAATAGCAAAGATTTTTTTTTTTGTGAGCTTTACTTTTTAAACTTGTATTCAGTGTCATCTTCAGTTATGAGACTTGTGTTCACAGCAAAGGTGGACTTCATTACATGATAATATTGTAAAATGAAGCTGTGCTCTGGACAGTGTTTTTTTTGTGTGTGTCATTGCTGAAATCATAGTTTGACTGATTCTGATTTTCTGAACGTGCCATTTTACTGCATATTCTTTTTTTTTTTTTTTTTTTTCCCAAAGTTATTCAGTGTCAAAGATAAAAATCTGAAGTTAAGTGTTTAGTCACTGGGTATCCATTCAGAATTTTTGATGTGAATGGGCCTGCTCTGTTAGCTGGCAAAAATTCATATGGCATGTGCTCTCTTAGAGAGTGTGCTAAGTGAACTGAGAGAAAATTTCTATCCAAGTATGAGTTTTCTTATTAAAACTGATTTGCTTTGTTTTAATCCATTTTTAAACTTAAATTAGCTACTGTATTCTGAAGTACGCGGCAAACAAAGCATGCAGGGTATTGTCCTTTCCTTAGAATTACTGCTAGTGTTAGTGACAAAAATGATAACTTATTTCAAAATCCTTTCTCTTCATTTTGTTCGTTTTGTTGTAGGAGGCAAAGGCAAATTAGTGCATGAAACATAAAAGTGCTGGAAGAAGGGGTATCTGCAAAACGTCATTGGAATTGACAAAGAAGGATTTAGCAGGAATTGATTGTATTGTGGCTTCTGTCAATCTTTTAAATTTATGTTTTGTTTGTGCAAAACCTTCAGATTATGGAGTATTTAGCTCTGAGGAGGCTATCTCCCGGAGTTCTTCATCCTCAAATTGAAGTGACTTACTATGGTCTCACTAGAATTTTGCGGCAGAGCAAAAAGTGAATTCTTTCTGAAATATGTAAGTGGGTGGGTGTGGGGGGGTGGTTGTCTTGAAAACCAAAGTAAAACGCTCTTAAGGCCTTCCCGGCTTGCCATGGAAAATTAAAAAAAAATCAACAAAACAAAACCATCCATGCAACTGTTTTCTTTTACCAACTATATTTAAAGAGTAATCATTTTGAAACATAGACTTACGTATGTAAGTTGTATACTCTGAGGTAGCTAATCAGTGGTATCTAAGTGGTAGCTACAATTGGTGTATGGTTTTTATATATTTTAGTGTTGTCCACTTGGGCAGATTTTTTTTGAAGTATGATGAGTTTCATTGTTTTATCTTAAAGAGTAAATTAAACACTAGTCTTGCAGAAGTCTGTGTTTGTGTTAACTCTACTAAGACACCTTCTGAATTTAGTGTGACTAACCATTATCACAGTTCAATACGTTTGCATCACCAGGAGTTTTTCCATCATCTATTAGCTGCTCATTTATGGTCTTAAAAAGGAATGATAAAACATATTTTTATAGAAAATATAGTATATTGATAAAAACCATGAAAAAGGCAGGCTTACCACTACAAGGGCACGTAGTGATAGGATAAGGGTTAACGGTTTTAAACTGGAAGAGGGTAGATTTTTGTGAGATCTAAGGAAGAAATTCTCCCCTGTGAGGGCGGTGAGGCCCTGGCAGAGGTTTCCCAGAGCAGCTGTGGCTGCCCCCTCCCTGGCAGGGTTCAAGGCCAGGCTGGACGGGGCTTTGGGCAACCTGGGCTGGTGGAAGGTGTCCCTGCCCAGGGCAGGGGGTTGGAGCTGGATGGTCTTTAAGGTCCCTTCCAACCCAAACAGTTCTATGATTCTATAATTTTTGGAGGCTGGTAGAGGTTCTGAATCTATTCTATTTTGACCTTGGATCTCAAGTTGGTAGTGAATTTTAAATAATAGCTTTATTGAAATGTGTTTCACAATCACACTATATTAATGCTGTGTAATTGAGCTTGAGATTGGCCCAATAGACAAATGCATTCCATCTTGAAGTTTTGGAATAGCAAATCATGAGTGAAAAATGAAATAAAATGTTTGAGGTGCTATTTGCATATTAAGCCAACGGACTGAAGGGGTTTCAGTCGTATTGCTGTTAGACTCCTTGTAATTTTGCTAAAATATACTTTGTTGAACAGGAGATATCCAGAAGGTCTTGCATTAATTTGCTTTTGTTTTTGCTCTTTAGACAGTGCCTTGCTATAAACTAAAATCACACATTCCTGAGTGTAAACTGATCATGTTCCCAATGGAAATTTCAGGAATACTTGTGGCTACTTTCAAAATGTGGAAATCTATTTATATTTTTTCCACTTGTTTTTCTTCCTAGGTTTTGGCACTGATTGCATTCATCTGCATAGAGACCATCATGGAATGCTCCCCTTGCGAAGGCCTTTATTTCTTTGAGTTTGTGAGCTGTAGTGCATTGGTGGTTACTGGAGTTCTGTTGCTTATGTTCAGTCTAAACCTTCACACAAGAATACCGCAGATCAACTGGAATCTTACTGTAAGTTCATAGAAATCCTCCCTCTGTTAAAAATAACTGCAGTCTTTGAACTTTACTTTCTACTGTTGCTTGAGATTGTCTATGAGTGTTCTTTATGTTGGGTAATGTATACATTTTACTTACATTTATTTTGAATACTAACTGCAGAATGAGCTTTATAAACTACATTAAATATAACTAAAATTGTCTTCTGGTAGATTCTCTTTGGAAGGAAGAAATTCCTGCTAATGCCAGCAATTACTGTTTGTGGCTAAAGTGGATAAAAATGCAGCCTGTAGTTATTTAACTTTGACAGATGCTGTATTTATGGTAGCCTGTTGTTCTTTCTTAAGCTGTTTTTTTTTATATTAGGACAGTTGTGCTATGTATTTTTTTCTTACACATATTAATACAATCATCGGGTACTGGTGTAAAAATTATGTGCTTTCTGTGAAAATTAGGTGTTTTGAATTGCTTACATAACTATTAAACTTTGACTGGCAATGCTTAATGGGTTCTCAAATATGAGGAGTTTTAGGAAGAGAACTGCTGGCAGTGCACATTCCTTTTGTAAAAGTCTCTATTTCCATGCTGTATTATGAGTTAAACTTTCAGATTGGGTTGCATAAACACAGGTCACAAAATCAACATGTTAAGTCACTCCAGCAAAAGATCTGTCAGCTTCAAGGACAATATTTATATCAACTTCTTTGGACGGTACTGATACATATGTGCCTCTGTTCTGTTTTGGTTTATAACAGTAATTTTGTAAGTGCTGTTGGAGACCAGTCCCAGAGGTTTTTAGACTTCTGTGTGATTTTTAAAATTAGTTTTTAATGGAATTTATTAAAGTTGCAATTTGCACATTTGCAGTAACTGTTTATAAGCCTAAATGATTTGTCTACAATGAGACTGGAATGTGGAATTAGAAGAGCCTTTGTACCCTGGGAATGCATGATCTATTGAGGAACTCTTCCTGTGAGTACTTGGTAGATGGATTAGATGGACTGAGAACTGTGACTGGTAGGTGAGGGAGATACTGGTGGCTTGCAGAACAAAACTGGTGGAACCACTGCAGGGTTTCTGCATTGTCTTGCCTTTGCTCCATCTGTCTCTCTCCTGCCAGCATTGTCACCACTTACCTTTGTGGCAAGCTGAAAAGCAGCGGCTGCAGAGAGGACGTTCCTGTTTCTGTGGCCAGCTTGGTTGTTTAATGAGCGTCACAGCAGCCTCACATCTGATAAAAACAATTGAAGACCATCTTTTTATACCATGCAGTTCTGTATGTTCTACTAGGATGTACAAGAGCATGCTAACAAGTGTGTGTAAGTGCATCAGTGTCACACCGAATACATGGTGGTTTTGCTGGTGTGATGCGAGTGGTTTTACAATGAATACTAGATCTAGCTTATGTTCAAAGTAAGTTTGTCCAGGGCTTTTTGTTAAGAGACTACAGAGTGGTATGCACGATGTCTGTGACTGAGCTGGAGTTGTATCTCTGGAAGAGTCAGTTTAATGACTTTGCAGACCCTTGTTTTTGTATGTCTGTTCTTTTTGTTCTGTTGCTGAGTCCTGTGGCATGCTTTTACTGCCTACCAGAACACTTGGACGGTATGTTGAACATATGTAAATACAGAAACCTCAATGTAGCTCTTTGCCTTTCCCCCCGTACAATGTGGTAGATATCAGTGTGTAACTGGTAGGTCCTTTCAGCCACTCTGACTTCTTACAGTATTTGAGTGACAAGAATTGTTGCTTTGAGTGTAACGTTACTTGTCTGTGCATAGCACTCTGTTAGAGATCTTCAGAGAAGAGAGGACTTAAAAATCCAACCAGTTGTGGTGTGGGTTTTTTGTTTGGTTTTGGTTTGGTGTTTTTTTATCTTTTTAAAAGAGTATTCTAGTTTTTAGGGCAATGGTGACACTCTGAATCTCCCACCTAAACAGCATGGAGCAACATGACATGATCAGCCTTCAACCTGAAGGGCAAATGGAATACACTGCAAAAGCTTTTGCTTTAGTTCATATTGCGAGATCAACAGAACCAGAAGTAAATTGTCATGATCTCACAAGTCTCATTTTTTTTAGTTATGTACTGGAGATGAAATGCTTCTTCTGTCATTATACCAAAGATCTCTAACAGAAGTGAGAGCTGGAAGCTTCTGTTTTCCATTAACTGATTTCCATACTTCTTCCTGGTATTGCTTTCTGATTTTAACAATCAGTAGTCTGATAGACCATTGCTCTGAGAGGAGTGTTGGAGTATCTGTTATTCAGATAGCTGTAGTCTGCTGTTGCATGTACAGAGTGTGAGACTGAAGGCTGCCGACAGAACACCGATGGGGAGATCATTTTGGCAAATTTAAGAAATCTAAGAGTGTAGAGTTGTGGCTGAATGTTTTTTTTGGCTCATTTATTCTGGCATTTTATTCTTTACAATTTAGTTATCTATTCATAGATTATTTGCCTCTTTCAGTATTTAGTACTTGTGTGTTTTGATGGTTATTTTGATAATTTTGCAGCCTCTGTATATGACACAGGTGTCACAGGAGTTGCTTTTATGAACAAGACTTTCACACTGCTGAATGCTTTAGGAGGAAGTCGTTCCTGCTTATGTATAAATTCATTAATAAATATGTTTTAAAGAAAAAGTATGACTTTATAATGGGTATTGCCCTTGTGAGAAGTCTCAAATTTTGCTTTTAGAAGCTGTGTGAGAAGAAGAGGCTGTTACAGTGCTTGGAAGAATTTAATAGTCTTAAATGTAGGAAGAAGTCTTTCTTTAAACACAGCACAAACTTCCTAGGAATCATTTGAAACTATTTGTTTTTAAAGGATCCTACATATTAGAAATACCAGGCCATCAGCTGCTATTGTCCAACATAGGATTGTTTCCTTTAGTACTTGATTAAAATTAGTCTTCTTGCTAATGTGTTGTGGATATTGTCTGATGTCCACTATTCCTGCTTGGAACGAAAATGTGGATTAATATATACTAGCATCTAAAAGATATACAAATTTACTAATATTTTTAAAATATATATTTGTAGCCATTTGGGAAAAGAGCACTGTTTTGATCCTAATTAGAGACTTGCCAATTTCATGTTTTCCTGAGGTAAACATGAAAGAAACATGGAGATGGTGAGGCCAGAAAAAAATCTTACTTGGGTGTGTTGGAAAGAGGCAAGTCTGTTACAGTAAGATGAAAGAACAGTCACTTGTCTGTGTTGTGCAGCACTATCAATATTATGCAAAAATGCAAAAGCTGGGGAATCTGTCAGTGGAAATTTCCATTTCCTTTATATTTCACAGCTCAAAGGGAGCCTGTCCTGCAAGGAGACTAGCAAGTGGTGTAGGGGAAAGAAGAGCACACTGCAGCAGAGATTCCTGCTTAACTGATGAGCTCCTGCTTTGAAATATTTAAGAGTTAACTGATAACTGAATGTTTGCTATAATTTTGTGTTTGGCTATTTTTACTTTTTTATTTTTTAAACTCATTATTTAAATCTCATGGTATCTACAGGCAGAACTTAAGATCTTGCAGCCAAACTGTGTGCATGACATGGCCCTCTAGAAGCAGGGACTGGGTAGGAGAGTAACAGAAGTGTTTGCAGTAACTTTGGTGTTCCGGTGAATTTGCATGTGGTTTGCCAGGCTTTCTGACAATTACTGCCACAGCAGAGTGGATCCACTGTAATGCTGCAGTACCTTTTTTCAGGGCTGACAACTGAGCTGTCTTGGGCAGGGGGAGAAGTGATGGCAAACAGCTGAGAATACTGGAATTTGACAGTATTTCTTGGATGAGAGTTTGTATGGTGAGAGAAATACGAGTCATTACAGATGTAAATCATTGCCTAATCAGCCAGTAGAATGGACTGTTTTATGTTTCTCTGTGGGGAAAAAAATCCTGCAATAGATTATGACCATTGCTTTTTAAAAAAAAAATTTTTTTTGGAAACATCCACTGGAGCTCTGGTAGTGTATTGTGTGTGTGTGTGCAGTTCTGAATGCAGAGTTTTTCAGCTTAGAGCTGCCTCAGAGATGAGGCACAGAACTGAGCACAACACAAACTTCCACCCGGTTTATAAGCCTGGACTCAGTCCCAGGGAAGCACTGCTTCAGGGAGGAAACATAAGGAATCAGGTGTGTCTCTTAGAAGACACAGATCAGTAGTTGTATTTTGTGCTGCCTGAAAACTTATTTCATCATCTTTGCAGGGTCGGGGTTTTTCAGTTGTTGCAGCGATGAAACTTTGTGTGCAAGCAACTGACACTTGAAGTTGTTGGCTGAAAATTTGAAGCAGTGCCAAAATGACAAACTGTCTTACAGGAGCCTTGGCTCTGAAGAGTGTAATTACAAAGCTGTAGTTCAAGAACCTTCACAGGGAAGTCTTGATTGTTTTAATTTAATTTTTCCCCCCTTCTGTTTTGAAGAAACATCTTGGTTTTCTGTGGCTTGCTTAGCTGTTGAATGAGAAATTAAGTAAGTTATCCTTCACTTTTATGTTTGCTGCTGTCAAAATAGCAATACCTATTAAGGCTAAAAGTAAATATAAATTAAAAATAGAATTAATTTCCTCTGAGTTAGTGCTCTTTGCGGACAGATCTTGTTTGGTGCAGCGTGGTGTAAACAATGTATTGTTCTGTAACAAATACAAGCACAAGTTCTAAATACAAGAAATATTACATGGTTTGGTAGTTATTATGGTAATGTCTGTTGCTTTGTGACAAGTAACTGCTGGTCCTGTCTCTGTGCAGGACTGGTTATTGGAAAAACATGCAGGGAAAGCAGTGAGGAGCAGCTAAGAAAGAACTGAGACGGTAATAGGCAGGTGATCTTCGAGAAATGAAATGGGGATTGTAGAAGCATTCATTCAGGAACATGTTTGGGCATTTACAGCAGAGTTACTACATCTAACAGAGCTTGTATTCCAACTCAAAAATAGTTAGAAATAAGATTGAAGTCATATGAATCTTGGTTTTGAGGTCACTTCACAGAATTGTAGAATGGTTTGGATTGGAA